TTTTGCCAAAACGCAAATTTGCTGCACTCTTTGAAGAGCTATCTTCAAAGCACTGAAGAATTACAGCAGAGCAGCAGTATTTACTGTATTGCTCTTGTTTACAGGATTCCTAAGGGTTCAAACTTCATTGATCCTCCTTGGTCATCCATCATTATGTATGGTGGTAATGACTGGCTGTGTATATAGAAACATCTGTTTCCCGGCCGCACTGTCTCATTAACTGTGCATTAGCTGCTTCGGTAATAGCTGCTCCTCTTGGACCACAGTGCTGCCCTGCGTCACAAGCAAAATACACAGGCACTCTGGAACCTGAGGCTTCCTTTGCTCCTGGCCCAGAACCAAAATCTTAATCTGTTTTTTCAGCTGATCTCCTGCTCGTATTTCACATTAATACCTTTGGTGCTGATGGACACAGCACACCATGTAGCTCCAAATAGGTACATCTCATCACAGCATAAATCAGCAAGACTTTCTTGGCTCAGCTACACCTTTAACAGTGGGCAATCAGGTGAGATCCTGATATGGTTCGAGCTTTTCACTGCTCTGACACTAGATCTCCAGTTCACTCATCAACACTCTGACAGAACTGCCCATGGGAGATGGCGTGAGTGGTTCTTCAGCAAATAACACCAGTCAACACGTGGGACTGGGATGCAATGCATTCCCCCTTCATCTACCCTTCTCACACGGCACGTCCGTGTTTGACTGTGTAACACAGATCGAGAACCCCTCCTGCACAATGACGCCCACTGTCCCTCCTGCCCTACGGCCTCAGGCCCTGGCTCTGTACAAGTCCCGTACATGGACCCCAGCCCATAAGGCTCCAAAGTCCTGCTGAATGGACCCTCCGGTTTTCTTACCAGTGATGGTGTGTGGTGAGGACAGCGGTGAGGGACAGACCTTCCCTTCTCAGGATCTCCAGCAGCTGGAAGAACAATAAGGCATAAACGACGCTTGCTCAGGCTCCACGACTTCCCCTTGTGCTCCTAGTACAGGAGCCCATCGATCCCTGCAGCTCTTCCCTTTCCCAGGCTACCGCTGGTTTCGCACAAGGCTCAGGAGATCCCAGGAACACGGTGCAGTAGTGTGGGGGTGGGCAGAGCTGCGGAGAGCACCGCTAAAAAGCCAACGCCGCTAACTGAGGTATGGGGTTAGCAGGGACCCAAAATAACAACAAAAGGTAAAAAAAAAACTAAACAAAGGCAAAAAGAAATGCACCGCTGTGCATCGCGACCTCCAGACTGGGCTTATCCTATTTATCGGGGTCCAGCCTGGGAAAAAGGAACCGGCAGCACAGCGGGGACCAGACTGGACCGACCCCGTTTAACAGGGAGCGGGGAGCACAGGGCCACAACAAAACAAAAACTTAACGTGTGGAAAAGGTCGGCCCACCCCAGCAGGGATACAGGCAAAAAGAAAAAGAAAAAGAAGAAAAACGCCGGCCTAACGCTCGGGTACGATCCCCCTCCGGGACTGCCGGTGACAATTCCTCCCCTTCCGGGGGTGGCCCTGCTCGTCCCTTCGTGGGGACGCCCCCAGTGTGCTTTTAAAAGAGCCTTCACAGCTGCAGCTCCTCCTCGGGCAGCCAGAACAGCTGGGACTGCCGAGGCAAGGCGTCGCCCTTCATCCACACTGAACACGCCCCTGCCGAACCCCACGACTGCATCAGTACACACATACTACAACACGCGTGGACCCCCGATCACAGTGAGCAGTTCTCCACCCCCCACTACCCAGTCAAGACTCCGTACCCACCGACCTCCAGATCTCCAGCCCTTCTTCGTTTTCTTCAACACGTTTTATATTATAAAACAGCCAGCTGCTCATGATCAGTTGTTAGTGGCTGTAACTGTTACACAGCGTGCTTCTGGAAGCCTAGGGCCTGTAAGGCCTGCAGGTACAAGCCTCACTGGGTATTGACATCCTTGGCTGCTCCACCCCCCAACAGTTTGGGGTTCTGTGACAGCGGAGGGCCGAAGCAGCGCTGTTTGAGTCCAGGTGGCACAGGGCCTCAGGCTCACCCGGTGTGGCACCGCAGGGTCCACTGCGATTGCCCTCTTGGTATCTTCCTCAATCACCAGGTACATGTAGTTGTCCTCCAAGATGGAGATGACCTTCACCTTCATCCTTCTCCCAGCATACAGCCCAGCTGGTGAGGGAAAACAGGGCGGACGTTAAAGAACGGGATAATCCAATCCCAGAACAGTAGGCTCCATCTCCGGTCCCGGACTCCAATCCATTATTCCTTGTAGGTCACCCGAGGGTACCTGTTATTTCAAGGTGTGGAACTTACTTGATCACTGACAGGGCTGGAGGGCTCCTGTCTTAGATCTGGGAGCATGAAGACCTGAACAATGGTGGTGCTGTGGTTCTGGCTGATACATAATTAAAAACAAAGCCCATGTGGACAACCTTGCACACACAGAGAGTTCCCCCTGACCAGAATCAAACCCAGGGCCAAGCAGCTGTAAGGCCGCAGTGCTGTCTGCCAACACACCCCTATGCAGATGCAAGACTCAACAGTTCACTATGCAATGTGTGATTCTTTTATGTCTTATGCAACGTCATCCGGTACTAACTAATTAACAACGCATGTCGAGAAAAAGAATCTTTTGGCGCCCGTCCTACTGTCGAACGCAATACGTGTTTTTTTTCTACTCACAAACAATTCAATGCTAACAACCTCCTCTAATTCTGAGAATCGGAATCACGTTTTATTATTAACAAATAAAGAGCATTTTTCAATGATCTCATTTCACCCATTAAAAAAAAAAAATTGATAACTGTTCCACGGAAGAAAAAGCTATTTCAAAAACTTGTTTTACGTTTGTTTTACGCAGAAAAGCACTCAGCCTGTCAGGGTCCTGTACAGTTTTCGCCTGCTGTACTGACCAGTCTCACGTGAAGTGGGGTGACCGAAGAACAAACGTTGATTTACGAGCAGAAAACAGTACCGACAATATTTTTTTTAATTAAATGAGCGTTTAATTAACGACTTCCAATTACTAAACATATTATCAAAGATGAATAAACAATCAGTTAAGCTTCAGAGGTTTAAATGACCTAATTATTAGCAGTCTTGAACGCAGCAGAGCCCCAGATAGAATCTAACATCTAACATCTTTAGTTTTCTTCGGTACACTTTGTCATTATGACTCGACAGAAAGTCATAAGCCTTGTTACTTTAGGCGACCTTGAAATATAAACCTCACAGGACACGTCACCGCACCAGTGGAAACTATAGACAGCATTTCAAAGCATGACTTGAAAATAACATCACATGAATTTTACCGTGACGAGAACACTATCCGTCCTGCACTTCCTCCTGCTGCAATCCTCTTACCAGTCCAAAGAGCAAACCACCGAGCCGAAGAGCCATCCCCCCTCGAGGCATTATTAATCTACCTCGCACAATCCATTCGCACTCTAACGTCAAGAAAACGGTCGACTGAAAATATACTGTATGAGAGAACATGTATTGGAAACGTTCATGGCTCGTGATCTGGAATAAATGACTTACGAAATGCACCTTTGAGATCTTATTTGTAGCTTTAAATTCTGGAAATCCTTTAAGTAATTCAGAAAATTACCACAAGCTCTTTGACTATAGTGAATACTTCCTCAAACAGTGTATCCAGGTCAGGGACATATAGTTCTGGTCCTGGAGGGCTGGTGTGTGTCTGCAGGGTTTCACTCAAACTAAGGTCTTAACAAGCTCAATCTGCTCATTATTGTTCACTGGCTACATGGGACCCGTTGAAAAGTTTCTGTCAGCTCTGCTTTCAAGAGATCTAGTAAACCCACAGATGGCATTCTTCAGCTTCAGAACTGCACATCCAGGACCCAGATGCTATAAGTATTCAAATGCACATCGACGTCTGCACAAAGCTACGCAGCACCACTGGAGACACACAACTCTGTCCACTGTTTTTTTTAAACGCCTGTCCACTTCATCTTCAGATCATAGACTTCTTGACTAAACAAAAAAAAACATTCAGAAACATTTGGCAGCTGTACATAAGAGGAAGTATCTGTACCTGCTGTGCACAATGTAATAGTTTTGGATTTTATTTTGTTGTAGCAAAATACAAGGAGCTGCATGTGAAGCTATTTCCAAAAGTACGCAGCACAGGAAGCAGTGTTTATGTAAGGTGTGTCCTGAAAGTGGGGTTATGGGTACCAAACTGAAGCTTTCCACACCATGGCTGCACCCTCTAGTGACACAGCGTGACAACTCAACGAATTGAACATCACGAGGCACTGAACCCCATGCAGCTCCCAAGATTTTACACTCCGGTCCTCAGAGAGTCAGGATTCAGTCCCGTGGCATTTAGCTTTTTTTTTAAACTTGCCAAAAGAAACAGTCACTGCTGGTGCTCCTGTTGATCTTTAACAATATGCTTTATTGCTGGTACATGAGCATCGTGCACAGACTTTAATGTACTGTTAAACTCTTAACTCTACATGATCTGCATTTCTATTCCATGGAAAGTATTTTACTGCTTTTGGATTTAACACCATGACAAATAATGTACAAGATGTATAGTATGTCTGAGACACAATGTTCGCTGACTTAAACTGATCGCACTGGTCGTGCCCTTAAACAGCTGGAAGACGAACATGCAGCAGGGGACTATAAACTACAGAACTGGAAGTACAAACCATGCTGGATTTATATTTATAGTGAACTTTGCGTTTCATTTCAGCGGGCAAGAAACACTGCGGTACTTTAAGAATGTACAGCAAAAAAAAGGCTCCCTCTAAATTGTCTTAAAAGAAAATTACTACTGTCATCATCAATAAAACCCCCGTATGGTACAACAATACAATCAGAAAATCTCCACACCTCTTGTTATGAATAGCCTTCTGCTAAATTAAAAACCACACTATTGCACGTAACGTTTGGAAGGACAATTTGACCTTAACTCTTTCCCTGTTTTTTTCTTATTTTTAATGTTTTGAGTCCCTTGAAAAGGAAAGATGCTACTTTTTGTTTGTAAAGATAATTAAAATATATAACTTTTTTTTTACATTCAATTTACAGAGCAATGATACATTTATACTTAAATATATGTACTTCAACAGTGTGAAAGTATTAAGCACTGAGGTTGTTAGTGACAGCTCGCTGTGCACTAGGATGAGTTGTAGTGGAAAAAGTAGCTTCTGCAGCAGAGCCAGCTCTTCTGGACTCAGTCCTTGGGAACACGGAAGCCATCCTTCTCTTTCCGGAGGCTGGCCATCGTTGGAATGGGATCAGATTTCCCTACGTGTTCCTGCACGGCCTTCTCCCTGCAGCAGAGACAAGGGATCAAACGAGGGCGCCCAATCAGTTCGGCGTGGTGCCACTCGGTGAGGACAAGAAGGAAGAAATCTAGCTCGATCGATGGCGCCCTTACAAAGTCCGCAGACATGCATAAGCACCCTGGTTGATTAAAACCGTGCACGTGGAACGGGTCAAAAACCGGGGTGCTGAAGCAGAACATAACAACACGCAACATGGGGAGTGAACGAGAAAGGGAAGGTATCCTAAAACTAACTGTGTGGAGTTTGTATGTTCTCCATGTTTTTGCGTGGGTTTCCTGCAGGTGCCCTGGTTATCTCCCACAGTCCAAAGACATGCTGGTAGGTTAACTGGCTTCTGGGGAAACTGGCCTTGGTGTGAGTGTGTGCGCGTCTGTATCTGTGTGAGCCCTGCATCCAAGGTGTATCCTGCCTTGTGGACGTTACCTGCTGGGATAGGCTCCAGCTCCCCCACCACCCTGTATGGGATAACCTGGCTAGAAGATGGATGTGGATCCTAAATCTAAATGGGTTAAACAGACACAGCAGGGGGCCTCTGAGCCAGTGGTAGCAGGAGGCCGCGTTGTGTACAGATCAGGGCTGAGGATTCGTGAGCAGAGGGTTTAAAGTGAGATCCCAGGTGGGGACGCAGACGTACTTGGGAGCAAGTCACTGTACCCAGATTCCTCCCTCAAACCCATCTGTATTAATGGGCATCAAAACAGGTCACTTTAATCACTGGATTAGTCAAGATGGATGAATGCATCAGTGACATATTATTAAGAGAGAGATCACTTTATTGGCCATATACAATTTCTTGCATTAGGAATTTGTCTTTTCGCATACCCCAGCTTGCTCTCCATGAGACACACAGATGGGGAGAGAGAAGCTTGGGGTTAGAGCACAGGGTCAGCCATTTATACGGCGCCCCTGGAGCAGTTGGCGTTAAGGGCCTTGCTCAGGAGCCCAACAGAGTAGGATTCCTCTCCTGGCTGCGGGATTTGAACTGGCAACCTTCCAGCCACAGCCGCAGATCCTTAGCCACTGTGCCACCACTCTGCCCCCATTAATATCAAGAAAAAACAGTAATATAACAGTAGCAAGGAGAAACACGTCAAATTGTTTTAGCAGATGATAATATCTCATCAGCAGCTACAGCATACACACAACATACAGTGAATGTTTTTAGTCTTGAGGATAAAATATTTTGAATCTTTTTGGAAGTCCAGCTCTACTCTCCATACCTGACTCTCATGAAAGGATTGTACGTGAATTCTTCGGCCATTGTGGACGGGATGGTTGGTTCTCCTTTGTTGTACACCTCCTGGAAAAATGTGGACAAGGGGCTACTTTCAGAACCAGATTGGAAAAAGGCTGGTGTGTCTTCGCTCATCTTTGAGGATAAGAGCTCACAGGACACGCTAAGACTAAGCCCCTCCCATCAGTCATCAAATCACTTTAATGTCACTGGCAAAAAAAAAAATTACCTTTGCCCAGGCAAGTTTTTTCCTGATCGCCTCGTTCTTTGGCTCCACATGTTGGGCAAACTTAAGGTTGTTGATGGTATATTCGTGTCCGCAATAAACCCGCTGAAACAGAAACTCACATTTACCAAGTGAGAACAAAATCTAGCAGCGGAAACATGCTCGTTTTCATTTCAGACTGACAAGGCACGCCTTCAGCCATGCTTTTAAAAGAAGGAAGCATTTTAGTTTGGTATTACTGAAGGGCAGTGGCCTATTAAAGATTCTCTCAAGGGGGGAACCTTCAATCAGAAAGTAGGAAAGAGAATGGGAAGAGTTTCTGACTTCATTTCCTTTGCATGGATTCATACAAAATGTTGTGGAAAAATTCTTCATCGGAGGAGCAGGACACAGTCTTGTGCAAATTCAGTTTTATTGAGCTCAATAATGACATCAATGCACGCTGGGTCTGCCCCGCAGAACAGACAACCTGCAAGGGTTTCCCAGCTGTTATATATAGTCAGAAGAAAGTTTGTTTCACAATCTGAGTGCTTGTTGTGTTCTTTGATATGTAATTACATATTGTCCTGCTCTGTCTTGCTCTAGGTTCTGTCCTTTGATGTGCAACAGACATTGGTCTGGTTTATCCTGTTTGTGGGTGTTGTTCCTGTCATTTATTATGTAGCGTTAAGCCACTGGGGCTGCTAAAGCAAGTCAGCTTTATGACATCTTAGTGTAATGTTTGTTTGAGGCTAAATAAACAGACCCCATCAACAGCTCTCATAAGGTGCTTAAGTGGTGATGCTGGATAAGTGAGATATATACATGCCCCACTTCACAAAACAAACTTCTTTTGAAAACTGTTTTGAAGTCTTGTAAGAATCCCAAAATGCGTTTAAGCTCAGGCAACAGAGCAGTCTTTTGCTGTAGTGACTGTGGTTTGGCAGTACAGTAAAATATTGTACTTACAGTTTCAGGAGGCAGCTTGCCCAGCACGTCGATCAGAGCCTTGTACATTTCATCTGCAGTGCCTTCAAAAAACTTCCCACAGCCCGCCACAAACAAGGTGTCTCCTGAAAACGAGCAATAGAATAAAATCAAACTTAGTGGCTATTACACAGCAGTGAAGCAAATTGCTTCCATGGGAAAGGAATAATGCACTAACATGCCAATCGCATCAAGATATTGTACAAGTTAGTAATTCTTGACTGTGAGTTGTGATTAGAACGTACAGAAGAAAAAGATTGGACAATTGCCTCTTAATTCATAAAGCCAAACAACAGGATACAGTAAGCAGTACATTCTGACCCCCCAAAATGTGGCACTTTATTTCCAAATTGCTGAGAAGACGTTCATTAAATCCTAAAATAAAACCCTGCACTTCGAAGGTACACACAAACACATCAAAACATCAAAAACAAGACTGAGTGAAATGTAGCATAGTTTCTGTATTAAGCTAAGCAATCCTGTATTTATAGCATGGGCTTCATTTGAGTTACTTGAACTTGCAGCACAAGCACAGAGCTGCACTGTTTCTGTAAAAAGGATAAAGACGCACCCAATGTCTCCTAAATGACCTGCCCTTACCAGTGAAAACAGCTGGGGGTTCAGTGCTACCGTCTTTTGTGACAAAATAGCAGATGTGCCCAGATGTGTGACAAGGTGTGAACAGACACTTCACATTCAAAGAGCCCACCTATATTCAAAGGGAAAAATAAAGTTTAGCTGTGCCTATAGTGGGATCTTCTTTTAAAGAAATTGCTATTTAGTTATGTATTTTTATTACTATTGACATATTTATGAACAAACATAATAAGACAAGTAGAAATTGTCAAATAATTTTTAAAACCTTGTATGGTGAACACAATAACACACTTCATTAAATGTCAACTTGCTTAAATTGTTGGAAGTTTCCTACTAGCGAGGTCCTAATTGAACTGCAGCTTTGTTCCAACTATTTTCTACGTGATGTGTTCCATCTTTGACTAAAATAGTGTCACATCAAGACAGTTCAAATTTCCTCTGGCTCCTTACCTTGAAGGTGTTGTAGTGTGTTACTTTCTGGCTGAGGGCTCCAACCCTGTCATCCCCTCCATAAACCTTCAGTCCTGAAACCAGCTTCACCAACTTCTCGTTGCCCCCGGCATGATCCCTATGGAAACCAGTCAGACACACATCACTAGGGATGTGGTCCCTATGGAAACCAATCAGACACACA